CCGTACTGTCAAGACCTCGGGCCGATATTCTCCCAGTACGGCCCTCGCGCTTGGTTATTAAGATATATTTATATAATTCAACCCCGTGAAAGTGTTCAACTGGCCTTGGTCAGTCTTTTTGTTGTATTCTTTCAAAGTTACAAGCCATCAAAAAGATGAAAACCGGTACGAGCCACCTTAAGTGCGTACGTACATGTGTGCTTGCGTACGTGCGTGCGCATGTGCGTGCGTACCTGCGGACGTGCGTGCGTGCGTGTACGCATGCATACATGCGTACATGTATTTATGCGTTCATGCCTACATGCATACATGCCTACATGCATACATGCATACATGCATACATGCGTACATGCGTACATCCATAACTTTCGCTTCAATTCAGGTCCAATTTTTCATGCGCCCACAGGTAACTTGAGTGCTGTTATAAGTGGGGCGCACGTTAAAAGTAAAACTATGACAACAGCGTTAACAAATTACTAACCAAGAGGACAACTTCGATGTTACAGAGAATTTAATCTACAATATTATATAAAGACCAAAGCTTCAAAGTTATGCAAGGACTAAATAAGGATAGAACATGCCGACAGCTACAAAAGTCACTAGAATTAGAATGAAATTTCAGAAAGGCTTGACTTTTTGAATAATTTGTTGAGTGTCAATACGAGAGTCTTCTAAAGTAAGAATATCAAGAAATTTTCTTTTTATTTCCCTTTCGAGCTCATCGAGTCTGATCGATTGAAAGACTGACTGACCCAAAGCCTGACAATTGCTCGCAATAAGGAGCAACTATTTGGGCTCAGTATTCCAACAAGAACGCTTAATGAAAGTATAGCATAATTAAAACGAAAAGGGAAACGAATTCAGCCAAGTTTTCAAAAAGTAACCATTGACTTATCGCTTTCTTGACTTAGTCTAGATTCCATGAGATCTAAAGTAATAATCGATAACAAAATGATTGTACACTTAAGTATTGCAATTATCATAAATGTCTGTTATAAAGGCATCATTGAGGCCAATATTGACAACGAGGTTTCACGGATATATTGGACTGTTGACTTCGAAAAATGAATTTCGTCGGATGTTCCAGAATCGCCATACATTTTCATAGACATCCTAACTTTCCCACATGCAGTCGTCCGTTGTTTCTAAATTTATCCATTCTACGGAGTTAATCACGTTATTATGATTGTCAGTTCCCCTTGGTAAATTTCAGCGAAATCGTCCAGCTGTGAAACACAAACAATGGAAACGCTGAATAGTTTGTAGTTATTTTTCCTTGTGATTATATTGAGCCATTGGAATTTCTCATTATAAAAAACTATAGAGTTTGCAAAATAAAAAGACGCGTTCAAAGTGTTTGAATTCACTGTCATGACTTTCCGTGGGATTGCATTAATATTAATTGTTTTGGATTTGAGTCGACCCTCAGTCAAATTGCGTCTGAATCTTTAGTTATAGATCCAAACCAATTTTTCAATACAGAAAAGCATGTGAAAACAACGCAATATTTCGCTATATCTATCAAAAACCAACGAAATTTACGTCCGAGGCTTGGAGGAAATAACCAACTTTTTCAAGTTATAAGATCTGTATGCATCACTAAAATGCCGCTTTATAATGATCATAATTGTCTGCAACTCAAATTCGCTGCCATGTACACTAAAATTCTGTTTTGTTAATGGCCAAACATTATGCTGAAGATTTCTTCATTCAAACAAAAGCTGTGAAAATAGATCGACGTATTACTAAACTTTTTAGCACATAAAGTATATTTAGGCCACGAAAACTTCCAACCGGCTTTATTCGCCCGCTTAGATGATTCCAGAATTGACAACTACTTTGCATCACGCGAAACGCTGAGTAATTTGGAGTAAATTTTTAAACGACCCTTTACTAAAAACGAAAACCAGTGACGAATCTAGCTTCGAATCTATTTTAAACACAAAAATGATGAAATTCGTTAGAATAGCACAGTTATCTCAGCGAACACTTTGTATTTTCAGCGGCTTGGTGAAAAAACCTAATGATTTGCACGTACCTGTAAAGCTATGCAGCTCTGAGAGCTGTGGTATCAACGGAAAAGATTGGAACTTGCTCTAAACTTTGACCACCATTTCTTACAAAATTAAAGCCTTGATAAGGGTGTTTTGACCGTGGATTCAACTTGGCGAATTTATCTACAGTTCTTCTTAATTTGCATTTCAGGCATAAATACAAGGTGAAACAACAATGAGCGGTGACAAAAACAATCGCTAACCAAACAACAGACAATCAAACGACACCTTGCATAAATCATTGAGATTTTGAATTCGAATTCTTATGCATATTTTATGTGGCTTGTTAGCGTTCAATTCTATGATTAAAAGGTTCTTTCAAACGCGTTTTCAACCATTATTTTGTCTCTATCTTTTCGATGACCATTATTAATACGAAGAATGTCAGTGTTCATGATATGACTGTTAGCAAATATTTTTCCTTTTCCGAACCCACGCTGTCGTATTAAAGCTGCTGCTGCCGATGGAGGTACCCTTCAATTTAACAAATGGTAAACACCACAGCGTACACTATTGAGTTATGGATGCACGCGGGAGGTTTGCTAAGCACGAAAGAAGCGTAAGAGTCGCTCGAGGCGATAGCCGAGAGCGACTCTAGCTTCTTGAGTGCTTAGCAAACCTCCCAAGTGCATCCAATAACTCAATAGTGTACGCTGTGGTGTTTACCATTTGTTTTATAACATAACATTGATACATTGTAGCTAAAGAGTTCCCTTTTATTTAACAAATCTTACGCGACCAGAAAAAACAAGCGCGCGCGGAAAAATAGTCTTTGCATTTGCTCACGTCAGCAGCGTACACCCATGGGCAAATGGGGGACGCTAAATTGACCAATCAGAGCGCGCGCTTTACTTTGGTTATGTTATAATAATCTGTATACTGACTAAAATTTTTGACCAATTTTGTCTTTCTTGCTATCATTCTTATTTCATATTTTATTCTCTTGAATTCCAAGTGCCTGCTTAGACAATAGCGCCGGAAGTGAGAAATTATCGCGTTTTAAGATACTCTGCTCTGCATGCTAAATCATTTCGCATATATGTTCAAAATCCTTTGCCGAAGATATTGGGAAAAATCGTCTTCTATTTTTTAGAGAAACCGTCTTAAATTAAAATAAAATACCCTTTGTTGGAGCCCAGCTCTGTATGACAAGTTATAAGGGAAAAACAAACTCAGCAAGCTAAAAACTGAATGGGTTACTATGGTTACTTCCTGTGAAGTTTCCTATAATTCGCAGCGGAGGAAGGGAGAGGGGGGACTGTTAGTTAAGCAACACAAATTTGTCCCTCCCCTTGTGTATAGTAATCCACGCCCCCCACCTCTCCCGGGAGAGGCTCTCCTTACCGTAAAGTATTTGGTTGAGCCCCCAGAATCGATCGGTGGCTCTGGCTTGGCAATTTAATGATGTCACGCGATCTCAAATGTAAGCCATATCATTACGCAAGAAAACGAAGCTGTTTTAAAAAGACCAGATTTAAGAAATTTGAGAAAAAAGCTAAACTTGGAGACTCACTGCAAATAGGGATCGGAAAGAAATTTTACTACCGTACATCTTTTGTCGTCGCACATATTCAGTCAGAGAAAAAGCCCAACATGCAAATCGATCGTCTAAATCACGCTCACTCGATCACTCGGATATATAACATCACTGTAGTTTCTAAATGTGGAAATTTCACGGTTTTTTTTTCAATTTAATCCGGCTAAAATATCAGCTACCGGCATCCTAACAACTTGGTTTTGCGGGGGGTGCAAACTGGGTGCTGCGCAACACAAACCGAAAAAAAACTTTAACAAACTTCACACCAACCGCACACAAAGTCTTTATGCCAGATGGTATTTCTTTTTCTCGTTTGAATCACTCACATTCGCTTTCACGTAACCCTTTTATTCATTACTCTTTTTCTGGTTGGGCTTCCTCCTTTTATTCATTACTCTTTTTCTGGTTGGGCTTCCTCCTTTTATTCATTACTCTATTTCTGGCAAGGCTTTCTTCTTCTAGTCTTCTTTAATCGTCTGGAAAACGAATTTACACTGGCTTCCAGAAGTCTGCGATCGGCAGAAATAATTCTACTCAAAGCTAGTTGATTTTCACACGTATAACTTAGGAATTTCGCCTTTGTAATTTTTTGTGGATACCTAACATCTGTAGAAAAAGGTTGGCGCGAAAAAGCGAGAAAAAAAAGAGAAAACGCTTCAGACAAACCAACAAAAACAAATTCGGCTTACGAATGAAGCCTACAATCAGGATGTCACTGTCACTGGCGCTGCCGCTCGAGTATCCCCTAAGTTTCTTGCAGTCTGCGAGTGGTTTCGGATCCTTTCGTTTCCGGGGGGGGGGGGGGAAGGGAGAAGGAGGTCTGCGAAGGGTTGAACGATCGTCCACTTAGCGAGAAGCCCGGGAGATCCTCGTGCTGTTATTCTACTGAGGGCTAGCAAGCTTGATTCGCATCCATTTTTTAAATTATTATTATTAAAGAAAGGTAGTACATTCTGCAGCGTTTTTTCTTCTTTCGCAGAAATCTAATATAAAATATCATAGACAACCCACAAAATGTACAAAAAACCCCAACTCGCAAAAATTTTCAAGCTTTGCGGGGGAAGACCACCCGGCTTTGATTAAAAGGAAACCACGAAGAAATGGTTTGTTGGCTGTGGTAGACAAACAACAAACCAGAAACTATTAAGAACCTCACAGTGAGAACAAAAGAGATGAACGCAGATTACAAGAGGGCAACTTCAAAAACGATTTCGTTGGTCGAGTACTTTGATCGTTCAGGTGAGAATAGTCCTGTACTAGTTTGTTGGTAGCAATGGCTGAAGTTCTGACAACTCAAGCGGAAGTAACTCAAGCGGAAGTTATTTATAGAGTCAAGATAACTCATATTTTATTTAGGTACAGTTGTTTTGGTTAAGTTTTCATTACACTTCTATCGGAGAGAGACCACTTAGCAGAAAACAAGGGTCTCACCTTCACGTAATCATTAATGACCATGAGGATAAATTTTCTTGAGTTCTATCACAAAAGCTGCAATCTGATTGGCTGCGTTACTTGCTGTCTACTACAGTCCGTAATAGATAGTGGGTTGCCTAACGTTGTGTGTTTGTAAGAAAATTATAATAAAAGCATGAACTTGTCTTGCCAAAAACGCTTTATATGCTGCAATTTGCATGATCTTTTATATTTTCCTTGATAATGGAGTCATGACTACTCCTAAACGTCGGATTTTATCGTTCGCTTTTACAGTTTTATAACTTGTCTTGTTGTTACGTTTTTAACGACTAGAAGATTAGGAAAAAAGCAAATTATGCACTCTCGATTTAAATATGTAATACTTGATTCAAGCTTAACCCTCATTAGCCATCAGGTGATAGAAATCTCGACCTCGTAACACAATTTTTAACTAGAGGTTGATAAATCAGTAGTTTGTTACCCTTTTCTAACGCTGCTTTAGCGACTGAAACAAACACTATTAAATTAGCTTTTCAAAGCTTCACAACATAGTAGTTTGGGGGTAAACTGATCCATGAACCAAGTTTATGTTCGATCCTTGATGATTGCTTGCTTGAGCACCTGTTCAGAACAAAGAAACAAGGGTCAACATATTAATCAACCGAATACTGGAAAGTTTTTGGCGTATTCATCGGAGCCGGCGAACATGCATGCAAGTTAAACGCGAAGATGTGTCGTGGGTGGAAGAAGAAGCGCGAAAAACTAATAGACCGAGTGTCTTGCTTTTTTGAGTATTTTCCACAGCTCACCTCTCGTGTATAACGAGTTGCAAGCGTGCTTTCTTCCGCTCCTCTAGATAACGCGAAAAAGCCACTTCTTCAAGCAATTCTTCGTTGAGTTTTAAAGAAATAAGCTATCCAAGACTCTGTGGTTTAGTGGTAGAGCGTCACTGATGGCCTACGGTTCGATTCCTGACTGGGACTCAGATCTTCTTTGTCCCGCGCTCGTGACCGGACAAATAACATCTTTCATAAACTAAGAAAAACTATCGAGAGGTCTCTCCAAATTTCACAGTACGTACCACAATTCAAGGGCATTTTCCCGTTTGAGGGTTGCCTTGCAGGTCCCTGAACATTGCTTCGCTGAGGACCCACATAATTAGCCCTCTGCGGTCCTTCTGGCTGGACCCACTCAGGCCTTTTGGAAAAGAAAACAAAAAACGTAGGAGTTGTTCTCCAGACACGCTAGCATGAAACGAGTACACAGGTCTACATGCTCAACTTTTGAAAATATTCATCTAACTTAACTTTACGCTGTAGGGCAATTTTCAATTGAGGGCCGAAAGTAATCTGGAACGGCTTTTGTTTTTCTTTCTTTCCTCTGCGATTGGTTCACAAAACTAACACAACCTTCTCAACCAATTAGATACAAGCCTAAAACCAGCCGCGTTTACCTGCGTTTCCCCGCGTTTCAGTGAGTGAAGTTTATTTTTATTCTGCGTTCTCATTGGGTCCGTCTGTTAATCTTACTTCCTTGAAATCGGCTGTAGCGATTAACTTCGTTTTGCTTTTACGAAACTCAATTGAAACGAGCTCTAAACATTAAGAAGCTACATTACAAGGTGCTACATTACAGCCGAGTGCAGGTGACCAAACTAACCACTTTCGCTGCAAATCAAGTCACCAGGAATTTCGCTATTCGCCATGGCGACACAAACGATCGCAGAATACGGCGCTGAGTACTTACAGAAGCATCAATGGGTTGGGTCCCTGTGCATTTGCTGGGTTGGGTCCACTGGGCACACATCGAAGGGAGGAGTGGTAAGATTGATTGGCTCTAGGTGACACCATCTTCGGTCTAAAAGTGAAAATGAAACAAACAGAGAAACAAAGTAAGAAGCGAATTCGACTGAGAGAACGTATAAATTTGTAAAGCTCTCTCCCCTGGGGGTGTTACACTTCGGCAGAGTTTTGAGCGGGTTTATCATGTTGGAAGCTTACGACAAGTGGTGACAGGAAAAAGAAACTCCCATCAGCTCAAGATTGAATACAGCTTTGAATATTCACAACACAATATAGAAAATACAAGAGATACAATAATATACCAAGAAGAGACAAAGAGGGATCTAAAGTAGCACGGCTCGTTTAGTTTGGCACCAAAATGTCTGCCACATGCTCGAAATGTGAAATGTTCTAAATCAACGTAAATTTATTTGTCTGCACTTATCAAAAACCGAAAACAAAATGTTTAAGTGTCGTTTTTTCAACGCTCTTCAAGTCAACCTGTGCTTCCCCCACTTCTCGGTAAACGAGCGTGACCGAGTCACGCAACTCCCCGTGGGGAGGATACGAAACAACGAAAAATAACAAGAAACTTAGGAAAGGTCTCAAATGAACTGATGTAATCTTTCATAAGTTTCCTCACGTTTTCCTCACGATTTTCCAGCGTTGAGGGTCTTCGAAGCCGAGGTAGGGCAAGTAGTTTTTGTCCAATATTTTAAAAGCATGAGTTGCCGCTTAAGGCGCTTCTTATACAAATGATATTTTACTTATACAATAGCTCACCCATGTTTTCATTTCAGCAAAATTTTCAACTCTAAATTTCGAGTTTTTGTACACCGCTCATTCAACCATTTACATCAAGATCTTTCCTGTTCAATTCAGTGCAATTCAATCCAGTTTCGTATTTTCAAATTTTCATTGCTTCTCCTCTTTCTTTTGACTTTCCCTTCCTGGAACCTTTCAACTTTGCACATTTTCACACTCTCTCTCGCTTGAATTTTGTCAAAGAATGGGAGACAGGCGAAACTAAACAAATCAGTCTGCAGTTACTACCTCCTACCGAGAGAGAAGCGCTGTTGAAAAAAACTCATCCTCTTAGTTATAAAAGCCGAATCCAAAGTCAAACAAACTTCTTATCCGTTTAAATTAACAGCCTTTGATCAAGTTACGAAACCAATTAACAAATGGTAAATACCACAGCGTACACTAATGAGTTACGGATGCACGTGGGAGGTTGCTAAGCATGAAAGAAGCGCAAGAGCTTTTACAGGCGATAGCCGAGAGCGACTCTAGCTTCCTGAGTGCTTGGCAAACCTCCTAAGTGCATCCATAACTCAATAGTGTACGCTGCGGTGTTTACCATTTGTTTTATAACATAAGAAAACATTTCTTGCGAAATAAGAAAGATTAACCCACGTCAGCAGCGTACACCCATGGGCAAATAGTAGACACTGAATTGACCAATCAGAGCGAGCGCTTTACGCGATTTACGTTTTAATCATAAATAGTATATACTACGTTGAAATGATTCGCTTACTGTGCTTGGGTTGACCTTGCTGCTCCCCGTGGACTCATGCCTGACTGCCCATCGGGTCCAGGGATAGTACCTGCGGATACCCTCACCTTGGCTGGAGCAGGCGATGGAGACTTGACAGCAGGTTGGGGTTTTGGTTGGGGTGCAGGCTGGGGTGTGGGTGAAGTGGGTGTAGCCTTGACATGAAGCTCCTGACTGGTGGATTTGGCCTTAGCTGCGGTAGTGGTAGCTTTACCCTTGGGTTTATTGAGTTGTTCAGTTGAAGAGACAGCTGCTTTTGGTTTCGTTGCTGTCTGTTTCTTTCCTCTGCAAATTACAAGTTTTCACTGAGTTAATAAAGCGATAGATGTTGCTGCTTCACAAACCACCTCTGTGTATCCTTTGTCACATTTGAAACATAGTCCAGTGGAAATAAAGACAATCATTATAGTTTCCATAAGTATTAATGGTGGTTTGATGCAAAATTCAAGGCACCTTCTACCAGGCAAACCAGTTGGTTGTTTACATGGAGCAGTAGAAGGGTTGAACTCCAAACAAAACTCAGAAAAACTTCTGAGATAAAGAGATTTGTGTCTGTTGTTTATATGAAACAATCAAAACACTTAAACACGACCGAAAAAAAAAAGAAAACTGCGCATTGCTGTATGCACACTGAAAGACCTTAAAGACCTTAAAGACCTTAACAGTTTAAACTAAAAAAGTCTTAGTTTAAACTAAACGGCACTACGTGCATGTCAGCTTTGCAAACTTACTTTCCAGGTCCTTTCTTTTTGTCATCATCACCTGCCATTGAAACATCACACTGATTAAACAAAAAGTTACAAACAAAGGATATACATAAAACTTGGACTGAGGATCAACAAATAAAAAAAATAAAACTGAATTAACCCTGCAACTCTGCAAGAGTGACTATGCATGACAGAATTTCTCCTTTAGTTACAAAATCAATATAATATCAAGCAGACAAGTAAGGAAAATAAAGAAACAAATTAAATGGGAGCTTCTTTGTTGATCCAATACAAAATTCTCCAAACTAACATCATGAAAATTGTATGGAAGACAGTAACGAGAATTTCTCATGAGATCTTTGGGTTAAAAAGCCTGTATTGGTTCTGATGTACCTTTTAGTTTCTTTATCACTTCCCTGGCTCTCCTTTCATCGTACTTGGCCTAACATTGTGAGAAGAAAATGGAAATAAATCTATGTATGAGCAAAAATTAAAAAAAACTTTACTTGACCCACAGAATAAGATGGAGATTTAAAAACCTTTGCTGTAAATGTAAATGGAAGAGAATTACACAAAATAGTTTAGTTTGAAAGTTCTAAAGGGTGACCTGTTTTTTAACTGCAAAGCTTTCATTAAGGTAGCACATTGCTCCAAATTACCTTCTGTTAAACTACTAGTACATCAAATTAACTTGAAATACTGAATGCAAAAAAAAAATTTAAAGAGGAGTTATTCATCAAATGAAAGTGAGCTTACAGTGTATCAGTCAGAATCTGTGACACTAACTAAAGGGATACATATAACATGTACATGACAATGGCAACCATTTAAAATCAAGGCCTGAGGTTCATAAAATTAGAAAGATCTCTGCCTTGTTTGAGTACCATCTCATCCTAATGCAGTAAATGATACCAAGATTTTCATTAAACTGCTCTAAAAATAATTTATATTTGGTCATTTGCACATTAAGTTCCTTTTTCCAACATGTATTATTCATTAGAAATCTCTGAGACTTCTAATACAATCAATGATTATTCCAAGATGGCATAAAGCCCATTTCCTCCATAATCATGAGGTAAGTCACATATAGCTGATGATTAGAAAAAATACTTACAGAACGAAGAGCAACATCAATGACAACATCATCAACACCTGGAAACTCCTGGACTAATTTCCTTTTCACTGAAATCAGTCATCAAAAAGAAATATTGAATTATGTACATTGTACCTAAAAGGTGGCAAGGCATGATGGCCTCATGGTTAGTGTGCCCAACTCCAGATTAAGTGATCTGGGTCCAAGTCCTGGGTATCAGTGAATTTAATGCTGGGGGAAGGGGGTGGTGGGTAATCCAGGGGGGAGTAAAAATACTTCTAGTTGCTTTGCGTTATGGAAACTGGAGTCATAGGCGCCGGCCTGATGGGCCATTTTGGCTTTTTAATTTACCTTTTTTCTTTTTTTTCACCTAACAGGTTTACTTGAAAACCCTCTCCATTGCACCAGGTATGGCCCAATATGCTAATCTTTTAGTGGCCAGAAAATCACAGTTTTTTTTTGTTTAACACAGCAAAAATAAAATACCTCACATCATCTTATCAGCCTTAGTTTACCCCTTTACATCCTAAACTCAGTTTGCATATTCTCTGTGCTGTTTTTTATTCATTTCCTCAGGTGCTGACATGGTTAATTCATTTCAAAATCAAGAGCTTGTTTAGTTGGTGATCATTTCCTTTCTTCTCCTGACCTAAATGTGTGATTCAGGTTTGATAATGCAAGGAGAAATCAGATGTTCATCACTCTTAGGGGTCAGAGGGTTATACTGTCAGCTCACTAATTTAACCTTGCCATTTCTAACCCTCAGTCCAAGGAACTGGCTTTACAATGCAGCAACAAAAAGGGTAAACAATAGAAGTGAGATATAATATTCTGACTGATATCTGGTGCTTTCATGCCATAACCAGATTTAACTGTAACAATCATGAAGAAACAAGTACAAAAACAAACAGCACAGGCTCTCCTGTCTCTCTTTGTTATTCTCCATTCTCCCCATTTAATTATGGCCCACAACAGAATTGTAGTGATCGACACTCACCGTTTTCCTTTTCCAATTTTTTACAATTTTAAATTGAGTTTAGGAGGGTGCTGTTGTTACAGAAGTCCCTCCGTCAATTTTAACACCTAACTATTATGTTCATTTTACACACTCATCCCCACCCTTGCATACGCTTTGTTCCTTTTTTACCCACTGATCACGAGTTTGCTCATCAGTGGAGAGGGAACTTATTTTCATGGGATCCCATACATCAACACCAAGGGAAGCCATAAAGGTTGCTAGTGAAACTACTGATTAATATATTTAATACTATACAAATCACGAGTTTGCTCATCAGTGGAGTGGGAACCCATTTTCATGGGATCCCATACATTAACACCAAGGGAAGCCACAAAGGTTGCTAGTGAAACTACTGATTAATATATTTAATACTATACAAATCACGAGTTTGCTCATCAGTGGAGTGGGAACCCATTTTCATGGGATCCCATACATCAACACCAAGGGAAGCCACAAAGGTTGCTAGTGAAACTACTGATTAATATATTTAATACTATACATACAAACTATCGACACTCACCGTTTTCTTTTTCCTGTTCACTCTTGTCTTCCTTCAGCATCTGTGACAGGATATTGTCCACGGGGAAGTCGTCATCTGTAAGACTGGCTGGACGCTGAGGTTTCTTAGGCTGATCAAACAAATAAATAAATAAATAACAGCCAATTGACAGCATTACTTGAGTCATGCACATAATGTGTACAAGTACAGTCATGTAGTTTGCAAAAATATATTTACATCCTTATGGATGGCTCTTCAGTTTCCCACCTCGTTAATTTCTATTTAAGACCATCTTCAATTGCCCCCACAAGGAGAAATTCGAATATTGTTATACCTAGACATTCAACTTTCTTGAAGGTTCTACATGTACAGGGTTTAGTATTGGAACAAAAATTAATACTACGATGAAAAATCCAATGACATGAAAGTATTTTGACTGACAGCTCTAAAACATTTTTCTATCGTCAAAAATCATTATTGATATACATGTACATGTCCAGTGGTTTTTCATCACTGAGACTGAGATGTTCTTTGTTGTTCAAGGAGGTGAACAAAAACTGCTTTAAAGAACAGAATTCTACCTTTTCCGTAACAATTTGATTCTCATTGAATAACTTAAATATCTTGCTCAAATGTTTAATGCAAATACTAAAGTCAAGTCCCACTGAGCTCATGCACACATATCTCCTGTTTATTTAAAAAAAAAAAATAAAGGCCTGCCAGCAGGGCTTAAATTTAACTTTCAACAAGGATCAATCACTCATTGCCTTCAAGTCTACTATGATGTTTCTTAACCCTTTTGAAAGAATTTCCCCAACAAACAACCCCTGCCCTTCTAAATTTCTTCCTTTAAACCTCCCTCCCCTGTAGAATTTCTGGTGACCATCTAAATGGATGTAAAAGGAATGTATCCTAGTACCAAATGATAAGATGATCTGTACCTCAGTCACTTTCTTTACTGCTGTAGGTCGTGAAGATGAAGCTGCTTGGGAAGAGCTTCCACCACCAAAGTTGGTTTCCTAAAGAAATATAAGAGATAGACATGGTGCTCAAGACACCCACAATTACTCTCACTCAAATGACCTCTCTTCTTTCTCCCAAATCCTTACATAAATTATACAATGGAAGTTCACCAAGATTGATATCTGAGCATACTAAACTTTTGAATCTGTCTCCTTCTTGCATCCTTTCCCATTTCTTTTCTTTTCTGTCAAACTCTTTTGTCAGATGTAGATGTTACTTTTGCAACATGTTCTATTTCTGATATGATGAATATATGAAGTTCACATATTTTGAACTGCGGTAAACCTTTATAGATACGTATGATGCATGATCCTTGCAGTAGAGAGGACTATTTATGCAATGGCGAAAATCAGACTTGAAAATATCAGGCCTGTACAGGATTCGAACCACTGACTTCTGCGATACTAGTGCTGCGCTCTACCAATTGAGCTAACATTAGCCAACTGGGAGCAGGTCGTTAAGTTGGTTCGTAATAAACCCGTGATGATAAATCAGATATGATGAATATATGAAGTTCATATATTTTGAACTGTGGTTATAGATACATATGATGCACGATTGTACATCATACGTATGTTCTATTTCTGTTTGGTTAACTATCATTCATTAACAGTTTTGTTACATTTAAGCTTTATTATTTGCACCATGATTGCTAGGAATCAAATTTCGACATGTAACCTTTGAAACTGATATAATCTGTCACTTAATCACATTCTACTTGTGTGTTGCATGATCTGTGTTTTTTTCTCTCGCTATCCTTCGATCAACTGCAACCCACAGGAGCAAGATCAGAGTAAGTCTGATCATATATCTTCAGTTGTAATCGTTTTGTTCCATTGATACGATCGTGTTTCTTAGCATTATCCTTGATTTACATGTCGTAGCATTAGCTTACATGAGCCTTTCCCTTTCTTTCCTTTTTTTTTTTTTAAACATTTGCCTTTAGTTCTAACTACGCTCACAACTACGACTTCTATTTTGTCATCCACTGCTTCTTCCAATAAACACTCTGATTGATATAACTTGATTTATCTGGAATTATTCAACGGTTCAACGTGCGTTCGATTGTTCAAGCTCCTGGGGTCAAACCCTCCTCTACCTAGTCTGCATGTGGCTTCATCGGCAGGAAAGTCACAGTAGATTAGGTCTATGGATATCATGGGTATTGCTGCTGGGAACACCAGTAATCATAAAAAAAATGTAATGTCTTATCTACTTTTTTTGATGGCAATCGCACCATTGTGTATGGAGCTGCCATGTTTTTTTTTTTTGCTTGTTTTTTTTTTTTTAAGCTTGCACTATGTTTGTGCCAGATGTCACACGGTCAAAAACCCTCAGGAGCATCCTTAATTCAGTACAACAACAACTAACCAAGGTGTTCAGTCCTCCTTCTTGATAAGCCTTAAGTCACAGGTGTATGTGGAGCATTAATCGTTACTTCCACACCATGTGGTAGAATATAATCTCTCATTGTTTTAGTTCTGAGTGAAAGATGGCAGTTGTATCAATCACTCACCCCTTATTGCCCACCCTTTTTGTTTATTTCCTTTCACTATGTTGACAGGTGGCTGTAATGAGGGCTTCTGGGTTGGTTGAAGGAATTTGTTAGCCATGGGGTGATATTAGTATTGGAAGTTGGCAAGGCACAGCAGAAACTCCCTGGACACCCAAGGGCACCCATGCCTTATTCAAGCAAGGAAGCAGTTAACTGTTGTTACTTTTTCATTTTAACCTCTGTAACAATCAGAACTCTCATCCCAACCTTACCGACTGATTTGAAGCTCCTTTATTACGTGATGATCCCTACAATCAAATGTGCAAAAACACTGGTAATTAGATTTCAATTAAACAGGCTGCAGAACATGAAGCCGATTGAAAGTGTATCTGTTAAGCGCTCCTTTAATATGACTTTTGTTTCAATAGCACACACCTGTACTTTGCATTATTTCTTATGGCTAACCATTTACAAAAAAAACTTGTCGCACAATGAGTAAGTATACCAGTATTTTGTTACTAAAATGTTTAGCATATGACTCAAGTTAAGTGAGTTAGTAGATCAAAAGTCTACTTAAACAGACTATACCCTGAAAATCAGCTGTTGACAGAATCTGCAAGTCTGATTCATTCATAAATAGTGATGTAATCTTATTTTTGTGATAAAAGGTGACATTTTCCCCTTCTAATTTTTTCACAAACCAACCACTGGATTTCCATAAAATATTGCTTTTGACCTGACAATCCTCAGCACAGGGCTGTATTTTGGTGATAATTAACATTTGATTTCCAAATGGATGCAACTAGGTGGTAATCAAATACCACATTGTACAATCTTGGTCTGAAATTAATCTTACTTATGATTTCACATGAAACTGTCGGCTTGTAGATTTTGAAATCTTTAAATGATTTTTAAAACTTGCAAAATTTAATGATTTCAAACCAAATTGCATTTCAATCCATTTAATGACCATCATTCACCACAATGTCAGCTCTCATTAGCTGCTGAAAATTTTTTCTAGTTCTGATTGGCTATCAATGGTAATTTTCCATTTGAGTTTGAATCTATGACTCTCAATTAAATAGTGCTTCAAATAAGGGTAAATTTTACCTTAAACGAAGTCAGAGGAATGGCCTCCTGCCTCTTTAACCTGGGGTCCTCCCATGTTGTCTTGTGTGTGGTGTGATCAATAAAGTAGCTGAGGAAACATGACCAATAAAATCAATATTGCAAAAGGATTGAAGATATCAGTAAAAGTAAATCCATTAATCTAGTAAAAAATGATTAAAGACAGTGTTCAGAGTCAATAATGCCAATCAATTTATATTTGACTCATTCTATCTCTACCCTACCCCTTTTGTTTTTATAAGCAATGACTTACAAACATTTCTTTTCTCTCCCAACATCCTGTGGATATTATTATTATTATTACACCGCCGCCCAGTTAACCCAATGGATAGTGTGCTGGACTGTTGTGTGGGAGGTCGAGGGTTCAAGCCCCGGCCGGACCAACACTCAAGGTCTTAAAAGACAGAAAGGAAAAGGCTTATGTAAGCTAATGCTACGACAAGTAAATCAAGGATACTGCTAAGAAACACGATCTTATCAAATGAATGAAACAAAATGATTACAACCTTTCTATAACATCAAGAAATGGTTAGATATTCTAGTCTTCTCGGGTAGGGATGAATAAATGGAGGTCCTGTCTCCTGAAGGGTTGGGGTAGGAGACGTTAATTTCCCACACACGAGATTACTGTGTAATGGATGTCCTCCCCTGGGGTGGGATGGGTGGGAAGGTGGACCAGCTCAAATGGTTTGTATGTTCCCTTGTAGTCCTTCCCCACTGCGAATTAATGCAGTGAAAATGGAATTAAAAAAAAAATTATGTCTAATGTAAACCAATCGAAAGTGCAGTTGATTGCTTTGTCAAATAACTATGGTTTATTGATGCAAAAAATTATAGGTTTTTGACAAAGTAGGTGCTTGTAGAATCTCAGTTCTTTTATATAGAACAGGAATATTCTGGTTGTTCTTTGAATTCAAACTTTTCAAATCTCTGCTCCAAAGTCGATGCATACATTTAACATTATTTGAAGATGTTACCGATAAGTACAGTTAATTTCTTATGATTTGTAGGTGAAAAATCTATCGACATAGGCTTCTGACAATGATCGCGAGTTATGATGAAGACATCAAGTTTAAACGAAAGGCTCTAGCATGCATAATTTAAGAATATCCACTGATCCTAGCTAATATCAAAGCAGGAAATAGCACGGGAAAGAATTTTCCTCATAACTCTGTACCATTCTAACACAAAACATTAATCCCAAAAGGTAAACTATTATTTTCATCATCGATTTACTTTTCAGATAACTGTATGTACATAATCAAGTATGGAGTTTTTCAGACATCTTGCCAGAAGAAGGCTAACTGTTGCATTGAAATCAGCCAAGATGTAATCCATGCAGATCGAACATAATTTTCACGGTCACGACGAACCTGCACCTGCTAGCTACAGATACAATGAAACTGTTTTTCTTATGATCAGCGTAGATCAAGCATACTCTACCAAGCACAAAAGTAATATATTTTGCGCAAAAAGTCATATTTAGCCTCGCCATCTGTTTCAAAAAGCCAAGCAGCGACAGCGAAAATAATTGTTTACGATTGATCAAGATCACAACGGAATTTTTAGCCAAAACTTTATATTACGAGTCAACTTAAGCATATACTTGAAAATACTCACTATCTTCCGATGTTTCCATCATATCTAGCCTCCCACCCTGGTGGTAAGGGTTGATTTTGCCATGGTTGAAATTGGGTCCAAGCATTCGCCATCTTTGTTTTCACTTTTTGACAAAAACAACACAGATTCTATTTTGTGTAATCCCACTTCAAATATACCTCGTAATGCTCACGACGCCCACTAATTCACCAATTACGTATGACGACAAAATGAAATTGACAATGAAATATTTCCCACTGAAAAAAAAAGAGATTTCGGCCAACAGAACTTAAGCTATAGATTTTTAAACATGCTGTGCAATAATTTGATTGTGTTCGGTAACTTCTGTTGAGAAACTGTCATGTAGAAACTGTCATGAGAAACTGTAGCGTTCAGATAAGATAAGATAACGAATTTATTTTAAGAGGGTAGCACGTGACAGTTTAGGTACAACTGATGACCCTGTGGCCCTCTATAAAGTAATATAATCAATACATAAAATTATCACAAATGAAAGTAATAATAATTTGATGTATATAATTTAAAAACCTATTAAAAAGAAAAATACATTGTACAATATACTAAAAATTAATAATAATAAAAACATGCTAAAATATCATCATCCATACTATAAAAAAATCTTATCACTATTTTGTTTACTAAGTAAATTGTTTAGAGCATCCTCGAGCAATTTTCACCTCCTAGCAAGCCTTTTGATGTGAAACTCCTGCCGGCTTAAACTTGCAGAGCATTACAAAAGAACCGCCAATTGCAAGGTGCCCACCTCTGTGTGGTCCAAAAATCTGCCGTGAACATTCAGCAGATCTACACTCGACTGTCCTGGGTGAAAGAGGAACAAACCCCAGCTGGGTCATCACGGGCTGAACTGAATCACTACACTGGATGTCCTCGCCGAGAACGAGAACGGATTGCCATCAAACAGGATACTTGTGCAATGTGAGACTGGAATGGGGAAGAGCACGTTTGTAAAGAAACTGACTATGGACTGGGCTGAACTTGATGAAAACAGGTTGACAGATGAACAGAGAGCTATCCTGAAGAAGTTCGAGTTTGCTGTTATTATTGATCTCAAAAAAGTATCTAAACACCAAAGCCTCAGAGATGTCATAAGCGCCTCTCATATTTTTACCGCGGAAGACGCAGCCATGATGGAAGGCCTGCTAAGTTAAATTACCCAAAACCAACACAAAGTTCTCCTGGTTTTTGATGGATACGACGAGTATCATTCCGGAAGCAACTCTGAAATTTTTGAGATATTCAAAGGAAACAAGCTGAGAAACTGTTGTGTGTTGATAACAACTCGAATTTCCAAAGCTGACGAGCTTAAAGAATTTAAGGACGTGTATGCAGAGATCACCGGGTTCCGGCTATATGGTCCCGTCTGTCCTCTTCATTGGGATTTTTTGATGACGTAAGACAGGCAGAAGCGTTACTTTTTCATCTTTACAATGGAAACCTGCAAGATCTGGCGAGAGTTCCTCTACTTCTCCTGTTCTTTTGCAATTTGTGGAAAAAAGGAAACTGAAGGCAGAGAACTTTCTTAAGTCCAAAACAAAATTGTAATTGTACCATGGATGCAGTCGTCCAGTACGTTTTGGATCATAAAGAAGCAAAAGGTTGGTCTCCTAACTTTCGCAAAGTTTAAGATTTTAAGGAGATCTTGGATGAAATTGGAAGGGTGGCGTTAGAAACGTTTAAAGGCGTTTAAACCGCCTCCCGGTTAGCTCAATCAGAAAGAGCGCTGGACTGTTGTGCGGGAGGTCGAGGGTTCGAGCCCCGGCCGGACCAACACTCAAGGTCTTAAAATAATTGAGAAGAATATGCTACCTTGCTATAACATCAAGAAATGGTTAGATATTCTAGTCTTCTCGGATAGGGACGAATAAATGGAGGTCCCGTCTCCTGCAGGGTTCGGGGTAGGAGACGTTAATTTCCCACGCACGAAATTACTGTGTGATGGATGTGCTCCCCTGGGGTGGGATGGATGGGTTTGTTGGAGCTTAAACCTCGTAGGGGACCCATGTCCTATTGTTTCTGCTCCAGTACTTGGTACAAATCCTTAAATAAAATAAAGTAATAGTATGCCTTTTGAAGGACGATCATGTATTCGAGTTTGATCGACTGTCCGCTAAGAACCTTTGTGAAGAAATTTCTATTAATGGCTTACTTCAAGTCAGTGAATACACAGAAAATCTTCGACCAGCAGGGATGGTATCGTTTATCCACGAGAGCATACAAGAGTTCTTAGCAGCGTGGTATATCACCTTCAAATGCCTTATTCCTGTGGGAAATCTCAGTGAAATTGAGGACCGCGCCCAAACCTTGGACGACTGCCGTTCCTTGGATAACGCGTTTCAGTTTATTTGTGGCTTGTCTGATGATGGAGCAGAGAAGGTTTCTGAACACTTGAAATCGGTTAGAATTGCTGACCCAGAACTGTATTTATCAAAATCTCGGGTTCGTCTTACTTATTGATAACGCCAACTTGAAGTTCATTCACCAAGTGAGGGACAAAAACATACGCACTGAGAGAATGAATGAGCGTCTGAAGTGCCACGTGACTCTAGCCACTACATAGGCTGCCTATCGTCGTAAATTAAATTGTCACAAGTTTACTTGTTGGATAATGAGACGTTAAATTTTATTTTCAGTTTAGATTCAAGAACTTTAATGTTTCAACTTTGACGCACGATGCTTCGCAGTAGATAGCGCTATTTATGCAATAGCGAAAATCAGACCTGAAAAAAATCAGGCCTGTACGGGATTCGAACCACTGACCTCTGCGATACTAGTGCTGCGCTCTACTAATTGAGCTAACAAGAAGGATCGTGCATCATACGTACTTCAAACTTTGTCACTACGAAATAACTTGTCAAATACAAATTTATTTGAGTCCCTGCACCAGGCAAGCCGAAATTCACTTGGCTTTCGTAATTAGAAAAGTTAGATATTTCACAAGAACAATTTTTGTAGTTGAAAAAAGGTATTTTTTAAAGCGACCAGTGCATTTAGTCACGTGACCAGCGCTCTAGACTTTGAGCTTAGATAAAGTGGATGGTTTGTGAACAAGCCACCATAGGAGGTTTTCTTTTAAAAGTTTAAGCCTGACAAATATTGATTAGGAACAGTTTCCTCAATGGTCATAATTAATAAATAATATTATTACAATATTTAAAATTTCACCCAAAGCTTCTCAAATTGGCATATTGTACATAGATTACTTAGGACTTCAGTCATCACCAGGGACTGCACAGAGGGAGGTGCTGGGAGGACTTGAGCATCTGCAGTTCATTGAAAAAATAAAGAAGATTTTTAAAGCTCAAGGTTAGTCCAGTGGCACATGTTCTCAAGACCTCTGGCACTGGTGTTTCCCAAACAGACTTTCCACTAAGTAATTAGGTAAAAAGTTCCTTTGTAGCAGCCTTCTAATCAAATTTGTGCGTGCTGTTGTTCCAAAAAAAGAAAAAAACAGCTGTTCTCCAGAAACCCAGCTAAAATGTGGAAAGTTAAAGGGATGTATAACTTACATTTTAGCTGGGTTTCTGGAGAACAGCTGTTTTTTCTGTTTTTTTTGTATAACTTATATATAAATTATACATCCATATATATATATATTTAACAATTATTCCACGAGCGCGCGTTGGATATGAGATGATAGATAGCCAACGAGGCGCGTAGCGCCTCGTTGGCTATAATCA